AACAATTCACTTAGAATATTTACTCTGCCTCTCTTTAAGGTGGTCATACAAATAATAAAAGGTTACAGCTACGCTTTTCCTTTCCAGTGTTTCCATTTACTTTAGTTTTTTTAGAGGCCACCATTCAAAAAACCTGAAGGTTTTTTGATCTCATTGGCAACTACAACATTAACTATGATCTAATGTTTTCAAAAATCTGGACTCAGATATGAAAATTATTTGCAGCTGCAAAAGTTCATTACCAAAACCAACTGACTACTTCAAGATATTTTGCTCTGTTCTTTCTGCATATATTTTATCAAATCTAATTTGACGATGAATATTGGTTACTTGTCAGTATTCTAATCAGGAAGTTGGCCAGTTTTACTGTTGATATATTTTATGATACAGTTTTATAAAAAAAAATATAGGTAATCTACTAAGAAGATAGATGGCATTTTTTTGTTCTTAACCGAAGTAAATACGAAAAGGCAAGACAGCTGAACTCTAGGCCTGCATTAGCAAGAGCTTGCTCATGAGACCGTTCCACTAAATCCTCCTGGTGGAGACAAAAGATACAGTCTATTTCCCAGACAGTTTATAGCAATTCCACAAAACAGGAAAAACCCTGCTCTGGGAAAGGGATGTTTCTGCCAGTATACCTCTATCTACACTAGTGCTTTACTGGAACAGTTATGTCAGTCAGTATGACAAAAACATATTTATGCAGTAAACAGAGCTTTCAAGCAGCAGGGATGAACGGCCAGAAGAAACTTTCCAAGAGGTCTATAGTCCTAATCCTTGTTGACAGGCACAGTGTATATTTCTAATGAAGAAAACTAAACCATAAAAAAGTGCCATGTTATAGAAAGTTCTATAGAAGAATTATTAAGAGGCAATATTCAAAAGCACAGCAGGAAACGACTCTTTTTCATGCAGAGGAAAGGCAGGAAATAGTTTAAAAGACTCATGCAGCTCCACAGAGGTATCCTCTATTGACTTAAAAATCCCAAAGTAATTGACCCTAAAAGTGAAAATAAGAGTACACAGCTAAGCTAGGGATATTGGACCGGTGTTAAATATATATATATATATAATATATATATATATCAGAACTGAATGGCTTATTTGAAGATACATATATCAGAAATGCTAAATACAGACTGAATTGACACTCACAAGACACATGAGGCAATAAGAAGAGGTTCTATAAATACAGCAGAAAGAAAAGAAACATAAGTGAAAGTACAGAACAATTAGCAATAAGGAAATAATGACAAAAGATAACCAACAAAGGTGAATTCAATTTCTTCTTTGCTTATATCCCACCTACCCCAAAGGGTTAACTGTAAGTAGAGAGCAAGGAATAGGACCAGGAAAAGAATAGGCCTATCATTTAATCCTCGTTCATTTAGTAAGCCATAATATATTAAACAGTTTAAGAGAAGATTAGAAATAATGCATGAGTGGACAATACAGATAGCAACTATACCAAATATGAGTTAAAACCTCAGTTGTGGTTACAGGAAATAGAAAAAACCCTCAGAAATAAGAAAGAATAGATTAGTAAGAAATCAACCATAACTTTCCTTAGTAAAGGTCAGAAAACCATCTTGCTCATCAGTAGCTAAAACAGACTGAGATAACCTTACATGAAAAATGAGAAAACTGTCTAACAGACATTTAGGCATCAATCCACAGTTGGTACTGCCCTTGATCTCTAAACTTAGGTAAAACTGCTATGCCATTCTTCTTCAAGTGACCACCTGCTACTGAACCTAGTATTTTTGTGTAAATATTTGGTTTTGGTTTTGTTTTAAGTTTTGTTTTCTCTCTTCTTATCCTCTTCAACTATGTATTTCATATTATTTTCACATATTATTTCTTCATGCCTTAACTGTATTGCACTATTTTCTGTTCACACACAGTCTTATTTATCTACGATTTTAGGCACAATTCTGTTCGCATACAACTGAGAGCACAGTCTCTACAGGGAAGATTCCCTGAAGACTTATTTCCTGTTCATGGAGATTAACATGTAAAATAATGTTTAGATAAACTGGATAAATCTGCATTAGCCAGACTCAAACAATCCAGATCTGACATGTAGCTGACTACCAAAATCTCCTGGGTAATGCACAAAGTCCCAACAGAAAGGAAAAAGGCAAACATAACTGCCACCTACAAAAAAGGAAAGTATGAGAGCTACAGACAAATCAGCCTAACCTTAAAACATTCCAGGATACATTATTCTGTAAGTGCAGAAGCATACAAAACAGTTAACACAAGTTTGTCATGAACAAACAGTATCAAACAAAAATATTTTTATTTTCTGATAAGATTAACAACCTGAAATATCAGAGGAATGCAACAAATGGGATATAGCTTGACCTTTATGTGGCCTTTGACTTTGTCCTACCTGATGTTCCTCAAAATCTAACCATAGATATATCGTTTAGACTAAATCACCTGTAGAGATGGTTGCAGAACCAGGTTCATGTGAACCAGTTTTTTGCTGGGTCCATTATCTTCCAGTAATTTCATTAATGAAGTCAATGATTTCAAAAAAGCCACAAAACAACAAAACACTTTTAAAATAAAATTGTAATCCGGGAGGGGATGCAAGTATTTACAAACCTAAGTAGCCTCAATAAACCTGTGAAATGGTCTGAAATCAACATGAAATCAATGAAATGTGTGTAAAGCACTCCACTGAGGAAGAACAAAGAAATGTACAGTTACAAAACAAGTCCATCTGGTTAAGCAGCAGCACAGAAGAAAAGGATCTACTGGGATCACAAACTCAGCAACAGTTGGCAGGTTAGACAAAAACATACAAATGTCTGTCTAGAGCATGGAAGTCCATTCTGCCCAGTATTCAGAGCCTCAGTTAGAGCAGCATGACCAGTATGGACACTTTAAAAATTATGCATCAAGTCAGAAAGACTTCTGAATGGAAAGACAAGCAGATGAATTATTCAGAAAAGAAGTATTATAGCAAATTATTCAAATCTGTGGTGTCCATCTACACCACTAGAAAGACACCAGTTCAACAGCAACTGATAAAACCCTCACATTTACTTGCAAGCTAGATACAAAAAGGATGAAAACTAAACCATACAGAAATCCATTACCTGTTACACGAAGCAGTAGCTTACAAAACATAGGGTTTTCCTCTTAAACTGCTCAAATAGGCTTTCTGAGCTAACCTCTGGAACACATCTCCTTACACTCGTAATTCTTCCCTTGCTAGATGTGCCTGCCAGTACAGGATCTCACATCTGAAGTCCAGCAGACCACCTACATCTCCCTGAACAACATGTAAGCTTTTATCAGCGTAATTTCTGCCAGTGAAGTTGTATTTATTGTAGGAGATTTTGTCAGTCTCGTGGGCTGGGGAGGGAGAGAAGGGCAGTGCAGGACTTGGGCTTGCATGTGATTTTGTGGTTGTTTATACAGATATCTCTAGCTGAGAGGGGTACACCAGCATTACCCTGAAGAAGCAACCATGACTGTGGTCAGGCAAACAGCAGAAATGGCTGTAAATTGCTCTCAGCAGGTGTTCAAGCTATGGGCTTCACATCACCTTGCCCTGAGGGGCGGTGCCCTGATGATCCTCTTCTGTTAATTTTGCTGCCACTGAGACAACCTCCAGCTGATAGGAATTAACAAACAGCTGGGTAAGGCCAAAAGCAAAGGCTCCTGTCTTAAACTGCCACATCATAGCCACTGGGGGCCGAGGCTTCACTTCCAGGCAGGCAGCATCATTACTTCCAAGAGAAGGGAAAGAGAAAACGCAAATCTGTCTGTGACAGTGAAGCCTAGTCAAGATTCCCACATCATACCACCGCCAGCACCCCATTGTTACACAGTGGGTGTTTGGATCACTAGCTGTTATAAGCAGAAGGAAAAAAAGAATTATAGAAATATGGCAACGCTCACAGAAACACAGTGTGGAACAATAACATAACCATCTTTGAAGTTTAGGAGAAAGAGACCAAGCCAGAGAGTCACCCAATTAAATGAAAACATCTGTGTCTAATCAAGTATCTAAACCTGAGACAGCTGCTCTGTGCTCCTTTTATTGGCAATGGAGATGTTGTCAGCTGAACCTCAGGAGAACTTCATCTCACCCTAATGCAGATGGGCAAAATGGACTCAGATGAACTGTGATCCAGAAGTAGTTACTTCTTTTTCAATTGTGAAGGGAGCATGGGATAAAAAGATTTGGTTTAGAAGAAAATTAAGTGAAATCTCACCCTACATGCGTAATAACAAAATCAATGAAGAACACAGAAACCAAATAGAAAGGAAAAGCTAACAATATTAGAAAAGAAATCAGGAGCTCAATAAAATTGGTTAATAAAAGAGTAAGGTGAGGAACTATCAGCTAGAACTCAGCAGAATTATTCTTTACCTTATAATGTTGATTTGATAAAAAATATTTACATTTGCAAAGAGTTTATTAGTCCTGGCAAGGTCTACAAAATTAATCCATGTGCCAAGCTCAGAGGAAAATGATATGATAGAACAAAAATTGAGAAGCTAACTGAAACTTCCATAGTCCTCTCACTGTCTATTTTTAATTATTAGAATTCAGATTACTACAAGTAAAAGAAATGATAAAATACGAGGTCAAATGACGTTATTCTGCAAAGTGTTGAAAGAGAAGGTAAGTGGAAAACCATAGCTTCTCTGAGAAATAATATACTGGTTTAAGCAAGTATTCCCTCCCACATTTCATGGTATGTACTGAAGTACGGGTACTGAGTTGTTTCACATGCTATAGTAAATGCTTCACAGAACACCTCAATGTAATTTTTAGGTGCAACTGATGATAATTGAGTTCCATAAAACTATGAAAAGATATTAATAAAAAATTTATGAAATTGATATCAAACTGTAGCATGATAAATGTAACTTGCCATGGACATTATTTAGAGCCAAAGACAGCTGGGGTTTTTTCTTGGATTTGATAAATACATGTAAGTTTACAAAAATGCACATTTTGTCAAACTTACCACTGGTGACTCTCAGCACTCCTGGCATCCAGCTGAACAGCCTTTTCAGCTTTAATCTTTCCTGTAAATTGAATAAAATATATTAAAGGATTTATTGTACTCTTCCACATTTTAGGCAACTCCCAAGAATGAAGCAACCTGATACACTCTAGCTGCCAAGAATAAATTGCTTCCTGCTCTTATAAACATTTAGATGGACAATGTACCATCCTAGCTTGACATCATTTACATATCCATACATACTTTTTATAATATGTTCATATATATGTAGGAGTGAAATTTTAGTATTTTCTCTTAAAATCCAATTCAGATGCAGCTAAATCAGGGAAGGACTGGACTGCCAAAGGAGGCTGCGTTGTCTGTAAGACTCAAAAACCTTCAAAGCAGGTTAGAGATGCACCTGTCAGAAGAACTAGCAAAGCTGTTTCCTGCCTTGGGTACAGGAATGAACTAGTTGAAGTTCCCTTCCAGCACAAAGACTTCCACTAAGTTCCACTTTTAACTGAATAAAGATGACAGCAGGTGATTTGATCAAACCCATGTTCCCAGTAAGAAGTTCAGATGAGATGCTTGCTGTTTGCAAAGTCTCAGCTGCAACCAATTAAGCTACACTGACATTTCTGTATTGCAAGTTAACTTCATAAAAACAAAGAACAATATATACAGTCCTGCAACCCAGTGGAAGGAAAAAAAATCCATGAAACTCCTGCCAGCTCCCCCGCAGTCTCAATCCCTCTGCACCACTTCCAAAATCTGAGATGAAAAAGGCTGCCGCCACCCACCACTTCATGAGAATGAGCCAAACGAGCCTGGTTACTCAATACCTAAGACCCAATTTCATTCCATCATTCTTTATCTCTCCCTGTCTTTTGCTGTGCCATTATCTTTCATCAGCTGACAAAAGCAAAGGATCCAACAATAGAGTTTGCTGTTGTATATTTAGTTTGTGTCATAATGCTCATTGCACTGTGTGATTTCCATACAAAGAAACCAAGTTGCTACTAAAGCAAAGACAGTATCAATTAAGTAACTAAAACAGTAAGTATTTAGATGACAAAAGGATAGGGACAAGGACCTTGGACAAGTTGAAGTTGGCTATGGAATATGTAATGACACCACAGAGGCATGACACTACCATTTAAGAATGACAAAGGGCAGCCAAAACTGCTTTGTCAGTGATGTTGTCATTGCTGACAGAATAAAAAGCACAAAACAGGAAAAGACTCACAAAAGACAAAATAAACTGAACTTGGAATACACTTAGAAAACCTGAATTTGGTGCAGCAAAACAGGGAAGAGTAATGGAGAAACAAAGGAGAGAGAGAGAAGTATTCCCTGATTCAGGCAAAAAGGATTATTGTAAGAACAGTGTGTTGACTGGAAGAGAGTGACACAGGTAGAAAAGATGTAGGTTTTATTGTAATAAAGAGAAGAAGGCTCAAAACAAAAAGGGAAATGTAAACTGTACCTCTAGCCAATATGCATCCAGATAGTGAAAGGAAGAGCAATGCTTTTAAAAGCAACAAAGAAAAAGTACCGTGAAGAAGAAAATCAGAACCTTGTTGAGGTTAAGCTGTCAACCAGGACACAAGGGGAGAGATGCCTGGAAGCGACCTCAATTGTCACACATGACTTCTCTTTCTGGTCAACAGTTTTTACAGATGCACAGTTTCATCCCCAGCATCACCACAAAAGAGGCTGCTGATATGCAGGAGTGCTCCTTTGCCACAGGAAAACAGCAAAACAAACCTTGACTTTGCCTTGGCGTTTATTTATTCCTCTTGCTCTCCCAAAGATGTAATTAAGAAACTGTGCTGACAGCATCTGTCTTTTTTCACATTCTGTATCCATCTGATTCTCAAGAAAATACAGGATTTTAAGGCACCATCCAGAGCCAACAGTCTTCAGACTCACAATACTTCTTCAGTGATTCTGGACCTCTCCGGTGAGGAAAGAATGGACTGAAGTCGTATACTGTGGCAGTTTATTGCACAAAACATTATTACTACAGTACAAATGCTCCCATTTATTGGATTGGAAATTCCTTGGGAAATTTGATAAAAGTTCAAAGCATGTTTCACTACATTCAGATGGCATTCTACATAAACTTTTTTCCTCTGCTTACCATCAGTAACATATTTCCTTTTCTCTTCAGCATCAGTAGTCATCTCAAACAGATCTCCATAAGCGCGTGCAAGTCTCCAAAGGAAGTCCACACAGTTTTCATACTGAAAGTAGAGGACAGCTGAGTAATTAAACTGATCAGAATGTGATTTAAACAGTTTCCTTTCATAATGCTTAAAGCAGGTTATTGGAACATGGCATAAATAAATCTTTGGTTATTTTTCATCCTTGTATACTACTTTTAGTTTATGTGAGAACCAGATGACCAGTTTTTTACTACCAAAGAAGAATACAGCTTTTGGAAATACCCTGGGCTGTCTAAAGAGGTTTTATTTTATAAATCAGTTTTAAAGTTCTTTTAATATAAAAAATAAAAAGGTAACCCAGTAAAGCACAACAGATCCCTGAATGATGTGATGTGTATTTTTATTAGGGATGCTGTAAGTACCACACTCACTCACAATTAGCATCTCATCTACCTTCCTGTGTATTTCAATAGGTAAATGACAATACAATCAGAACTAATGTTTGACAAATCAGAAGAAACTGATATACTGCACATCAAACCTCTTCAAAATTTTATCTGGAGTTACATATGTGCACAATAAAGTCAAAGGAAAAATTCACCTGAAGTATACCAGAAAGGTGTAAGTGGACTACAGGCTCATCGTTTGATTTCTTGAGAAGGCTTGATCTGATTACTACTTAATTCTGCAGGACATTCTCACATAGACCATTCTACAACCAGCAAAAGTAAGTATCATTTATGTAAAAAAAAAAAGCCCATGATCTTTCTTTGTTGCATGGAAGAATACATACATCAAACAAAACCTCAAAGTTATTGAGCCTGGATGGGATATAAAATAATAAAACTTCTGTGCCTGCTCAACGTGAATATTAACATCACCTTGAAATATTTCTTTTTCACTGCATTTTAAAAATATACTGAATTTCATCTTCCAATCCTCTGTGCATTTTAAATGCTTGTATTAAGGAAGTTCTCAAAAGCAGTGCGAAGCGTAGGTTAATAACACCATAATATTAAGTGTACTCATTAATACCTTGTTGTCATTCTCAAGCAGCAGTCTGAAGCCTTCCTTTTTATCATCCTCTGAACCTTTGTGCAAATTGTCCGCCTGCTGTAAAAGATTAAATAACTCTTCTTCTTCTGATTTTACAATGGCATCGGGTGATTTCATACATCCTTTTTCTTCCTCAGAGTCTCCTTCAGAATCGGTATGAGCTGTAAGATAACTAAAATCACAGAAAATAATAACCATCTTTTCTAAAAATATTGGTAAAGCATTGTTAGATTCAAATGCAAAAATTTCAGAGCACAATTTCATCCAGTTTTCCAACCTTACAGGGGTTTTTATTCATGGTACCAAGTTTGTTATTATTATTAAACCTTTATCTTCAAAGGGACTGCACAATCATATTCCAAACATAACAGGCAAATAATCACACTGTCTCGCTGCCTAATACTGCACTAAAATAAATGGAGATACATATTAGAAACACATGTATCCTTGTGTTTCAAATGCAGAACACTTTAAATTATTAACGTGTATTAAGACATGCTCTGTAACCTTGAATAGGCCTCTTCAACTCTTCACCTCAGTTTCCCTATTTTTTGAAATAGGAATGAGCATACTAACCAAAACATAAGTGCTATAAGAATTACTTATACAATGTTTTCTTAAACACTTGTAAGATCTAAATATAAGCAATAATACCACTGTTACCAATTCTTTTACTTATTTCTTTTCAACATTGTGAAGGTCAGAATATCTGAAACTGAAAAAGAGCTTATATTAATTCACTATGCTTAGTGCACAAGTACTCAGCAAAACTCAGTCAAGGACAAGGAAATATTTACAAAAGCCATAAATACCATGCAGAGACAAGCAGGTGGTCTTACTGTCCAAAGTGCTGAGCATACATTAGGGTACTCCAATTTCATACAGGATCAGCTGAATGGCATTATTTTTAAGTAGTAGCGTTTTGCTTATGTACTAAAAATGGATGGAAAAGCCTAATCTGCATTTCCGCTTTTCAAAATATTGTTCTACTGAGAAATAATAATGTAAAAGTATTAGCTGCCAGGCCCAGAGATTTTTTAAATGGTAACTATGAGCAGACAAAGCATTAAATGTACTATACAGATTAAGCAACCAAATAATCAAACTAGGCCATGACAGTCAAAATACATAAAATCTATTTTTTTTTCCAGAAATATATCCAGTGCAGAATGTTAGCAATATAAATGGAAGATAATAATCATGGCTTTTAAATAATCTGTTTTCAATACATTGCTTTCAGAAGTGACCAAAACCAAACCACAAGCAGATACACCTACAGTCAGTAAATGAGCAAGTACAACTGCTTATCAAGCTACAGAAGTGCTAGATGTGGCATTAGAGTTTCGCTGCAAAAGTAACCTGGCAGTATGGGAAAGAGGAGTCAAAAATACATTTGGATAAAACAATACGTATATAAACCATGTGTACATGTCCAAACTGAAAAAACAACATGAAGCTGAGCAGAGATGAGAAACTTCATAAATTCCTACAGATTTGTTTTATATAATCTTGATGATGCTGAAGTTGATGACACATCATATGTTGTCTCCTGCACAGTCTTTATTTGTAAGCCACTGAACATTTATTTTGGTTTTCTGAAGTCTTTCAAAACACAACATCTTGTTCTTCCATAGCTATTTTGAAGTGGGTGCAGAGTTACATCATACATAGGCTGCATTTGTAAGAGCACTAAATGGACAAGAAAAGTGCAAGGGATTTGGTGGGAGGAGTGCAGTCTCTTAAAACCAATACATAATCCTATGATGTGAAGTATGTTTGGAAAGTACCTTTCCTCACAAGGTTTGGATGTCCCACCCCCCACTAATTAAAAGATAAATGCACTGAGGGTTTGTGCCAATCAGTACTAACACAAACAGAAGTGCAGATTCTATTTAACACAGTTTAAAAACTCCGAGAGTCTAAGGCCTGATGACAGTAATGGAAAAAGTGAAATTAACAAAAAATGAGGAAGAGTCATTATGGTTTGTTTTACAAATATTTCATATAACAACCCTGACATCTGCAATTTTACCTGGTATTTTCCTGCAAGAGGTTTTATCAGGTGATAAATAAAAAAGTGAGTATTTACATGTGATAAACACATTGACCAATATTTGAGAAAATGGAAGAACTTTAAAAAATGTCCTTGTCAGAGCCGATTTGTTTTCACCTTTATTACCAATAGATTTTATTTAAAAGACAAAAACAGTGGTAAGAATGTGAGGAGCAATGATCAACCAACAGGACTCAGTTGGATCACAAAGGACTGTTCAAAGTTCAAAGAACGAATAGAAACTGTGCTAGAGACTGTGGTTAAGCTGTTCAGTAAACCCAGGTACCTAGTACTAGATTAAAAAAAAAACCTGAGCTACACAGTGTAAAACACCACTGTGGTATAAACTCACTTTGCTCGTTCAAAACGTGTGTTGGATTGTCTGTAAATTGGCAGACACTGGGCCTAACCAGGTATCGTCTGTTCACAACAGTTCAGCTTTTAGACAGATCAAATATCATCTGTTGTCTCCCTGCCAACTTAAAAAAAATCACAAGCTGACACAAACACTGTCTCATCCACTCCAGGTAACTTAACAGAAAGGTGATTACATGTCACAGACTGATCTGGATCAAATTTTCACTGTATGGCCCAGCAGAGTGCATATCCACCGGTAATAATAAGTGGCCTACAAGGAAAAGTTTCGCAAACCAAATTCTTCGGTCAACTGAGGGTTGCACTGAAAACAAATGGTCAGCAAAAATAAATGAAAAAATTGTAAGTGAAGTGATACTCAGAAGTAGGCAAGGGAAATGTTTCTTCCCGATGAATATTTAAACTATTTAAAGGAAAAAGCATAAATAAAACATCTGTAGGAAAAGGATTTACTGTGGAGAATCTTTCTGGCAACTGATGCGAACTGTAATGTGAAAACCCTGGGTGCCAGGCCAGCTGAAGACTAGTGCCAACCATGACACTGATGTCAATGGTTCTTCACTGCTGTATCAGAGAGGAAACAGCTTTAACAATCACAAAGAGGAGAATTAGGTGACACCCTCCCCATCCCAGGTGATCATCTAGACACAATTTATTGTATTTGTAAATGAATGAGTGCTTGTTACACATTCTGAAATGATTGAGGTTTTCACTAGATGGAAATTGAAACAAACTATTAAGAATAAAATACAGAAAAGCATATATTAGAAACCATAGGCTCTCTAGCATTCAGTCAATATCCCATCCATTCAGTGCACCTTCCACTCATATAATTATTATGATAATACTTATTATGTAAAAACATATCTCATCTATTAAAAAGCATGTTACGTTTTACTACTTACAGAAATGCATAATTTTTGAAAGGCAAAACAGAAAGCTTCTCTTCCCAAGGTGTTGAATACCAACAGTGACACAGAGTATGACAAGAGTCACAGCGAGGACCATATCAGAGACCATCAGATTCAAATATTTTATGGAAAAAGACAGGTAGTATTAAAAGCTTTTCTGGAAGAAGTTTACAAATCTGAAAGCAATGTAGTTATCCAGCACAAGTCCGTAAAGCTCTGAAGTTTACTTCATTTGTCGATTCCCAGCATCCACCCATGTAAAACCAGAAGTGCTTAACACAAGCAAAATACTATCTTCTAGATCACGAAAATACTGCTGAGGCAGTGAAACATGTTGCATGTAGTTTAGATAGAATACGGAAAGGGAAAAATGTTTAATCTGTAACAAAGAGGAAAAAACATTTCTTCAGTGCACGAACTAGCAACTGAATGTATTATTGTGTGTGGAATTCACCACAGAACAGTATAAAACAATGCACATGGTGCTATACCTGCAGCACATGAAGTGGTGATGCACATTAACTGGAAAAAAAATGGGTGTTGTTAGTGTCTCATGGCAAAATCTTGCAGTACATGCATGTCCTGGGTTGAGTGAATGGTGTTTTTTTTGGTGGCAGGGGAGGGGGTTATCGGGGCGGCCCCCTGTGAGAAGCTTCTCGAAGCTCCCCCAGCTCCACGTCAGCTCCACTTCTGTTTGGGAAATTGAGCCAATCGGCTGCGCCTCTGCGATAACGTGTTTAAGAAGGGACGTGGTGACGGGCAGTTGGACTTGTGAGGAGGAGTTGCTGCAGCTGCATGAACACCAAGGTCAGTGGAGGAACGGAGGAAGAAAGGAGGGGGGAGGTGTGCCGGAGCAGAGACCCCCCTGTATCCTGTGGGGAGACGGCAGGGCGGCCCCCCCCTGCCACCCATGAAGATCTGCAGTGGAGCAGACATTGACTTATGGCCTGTGGCTCCTGGTCGGATAATCAAGGTGCTGTGACCGAAGAAGGCCGGGGTCTCATGGGAAAAGGCAGCCCCGCTGCTGTAATTCAGCGCTGGGAGGATTGCAGCATGCGGGGGAGTCCCACGCTGGAGCAGCTCGGGAAGGGCTGCAGCCGTGGGAGGGAATCCAGTCGGAGGAAGTTAGTGACCCATGACGGAGCAGTGTGGGGAACGCTGCGGCCCATGGGAGGAATTCAAGTCAGAGAAAGTTTGTGGAGGACTGTCTCCTGTGAGAGGGGGACCACGATGGAGCAGGAGGAACAAGTTCCGGACACTCCCCTCACCGAAGATGAAGAAAGTGGCAGCACTGACTGCACCCCCCATTCCCTGCCCCTGCGCCACTGGGGGAGGAGGTAGAGATATCGGGAGCAGAGCTGAGCCCGGGAAGAAGGGAGGGGTGGGGGGAAGGTGTTCTCAAGATGTGGCAATGCGTCTCACTGTCCTACTCTGTTAGGTGTTGTTAGTGTCTGTAATAAATGTATGTTCTTTTTTTTTCTTCCCCTAACAATTCTGCCTCTTGCTCGTGATCATAAAGGGGAAATTTTTCCCCATCCCAGTCCTATCTCGAACCCCAAGCCTGGCTCTCTGTCCCTTCTCATTGCCGAAGGGGAAGGGAGAGAGAGGTGCTGCATTGTGGTTGGCTGCCAACCAGGCCCAAACCACGACAATGCATCACTGTCATTAAAGTTACGGTGGACCTCAGAAAAAGCTACATACATTGCAAACATACACACATTAGGATTAGCAACCTCATTTGCAAAAGGAAGAAAAAAAATACAAAAATAATATTACATAAAGAAAATAAAATTATCTTAAATTTAGAGAAGATATGCAAAACAAGCACATCAAGTACAAGGTGTTAGCAGGAAAAAAACACCTCTTTTCAAAAAGGATTAAAAAATAGCATTGAAAAAGCACATACTCAAATGACTAACACCAGCTATAACCTTGAATTATCTTCCTTCCTTCTGACTGTACACAAATACTTGTCAGAGAAGGCCTCTCTTAAGGACACATTCAGAGCTCTTGCAGACTGTAATCACATGTATTTGATCATCTAGTCAGCTTCTTCGTCACACAGAGGAACCTGAACAGGCAAGTTTCCTTGGCTAGTTCTCAAACAACAGCACACCTCTCATGACCAGAAAATGGGATCTTCTCAAAAGCTGTGTGGAATAACCCCTATACTGCATCTGCGAACCTGAATATTCATAAACTGGTCCTTTAGCCTTATCTACATCTCCAAATATTTTATGCATAACATAGAAGTCTCTGCAAAGCAACTAATCGATAAAACAGTCTGAGAAACTCATAGAACTCAAATGTTTCTACATGTCTTTGAATATCCCTGCCAGTATCAAATATTTAAAATAAAGAACTGGTTCTCAATAGAACTGACAGGTCTCAAAATATGGTATCAGAATGTAAGACTTGTGAAACATGTGGGCTCGGATGTAACACAACAAGAAATTCTGCCCACGGGAACTGAAAATAAATTTGGATAAAATCATAAAAAGAATTCTATTTATTATTATATGCAGCATGTTGCTGTCTTCAGAACATCACAGTTAATTAATATACCTTTAAAGAAAAAAAAAAAAGTGTCTTAAGCAATTTACAGACATAGTGCTGCCTACACAGGTATGTATAACACACTGAGGAGATGGTTCAAAAATTCAGTTGCTTTAAACATACCCTTACTAAATTGCATATAAGTATCTAATCTGATTATATCAAAACAATATTGCAATTACAGGAGTAATGTCATCACCATTTTTACATTACTAATGGACTGTGTATTCCGTAACATGAAAAGACAAAAATATAGTCCCTCTCCTAGACTCCAGGTACATCTGATCCTTCAGCACGTTACATGTATAAAAGATCCCATTAACCACAATAGGACTACAAGATGCGATCAAAACTATGAACTTTCTGCCTTACTGAATCAATACCCTAAGTTCCTCATGATTACTTTTTAAGCCACTAGAAAGTGTATACAACAGCAAATATACATAAACATACTGCCATTTGTACACGTGTTGCATTTGGACAGCTTTCATAGCACGTAATACCTTTAGGCAGAACATTGTAATAACTCATCTTTAAGGCTCACAGAAGACAATTATCACAAAAAGCACAAAACCATTCATACAATTTAAACAAACTCTGTCAGAGACATGAGACAAGACTACTTTCTTACTAGAAGCACTTTTAAAATTACACCATTATTCTGAACTTTGCCTCTAATTGCACAGCTATGTAGCAATACTGCATCAGGCTGTTACCAAATGCGCCCTTAAAAATTTGTATTATGCTTGGCATTAAACCAACTTCAGCTGTAGAGCAGATCCTGAGGTGGTCACCCAGAGTTTTCTCTGATCTAAAAATTACTAATCTGAATTTTTGTGGGTTTTTTTTCCCCTTAATATAGAAAAATGTAAAATATACAGAAAACTTTAAAAGGGCTCCTGTTTACAATACGAAGTTTCACATAGGTAAATACAAAACATTATTGACTCACCCTCCTTCACTTTCTGCCTCCTCAGAGCTGGTAGTTTCTGTTGCACCAGAAGCTGTCTCAGCTTTTCTCCGCTTCGTTGCTCTGTGTGATGGGCTAACCCTCTGAACATCTCCCTTCCCTTGAAGCTCATTTCGGACAACCTCTTCAAGCTTTGGAATAGCTTCTTTCAGAAATTTCACCTCTCTCTTCAGCTCATCCACACTTACTAGCAAGCCATTCAATTTTTCTAGTATCTGCAGCTGCCTTCCGTGTAAAACCATTACTGCTCCTTGCTCATCAGGAGCTTCATTTTGCAAGCCCACAGAATTAAGCCTGTTACCCACATGCAGGAACGCAGGTATACGCATAGCTGCACCAGGTTTTCGGATCTTACGGTACCAAATCAGCATCAGGCTTATTCCAGCAGTCCCTGCCATTATGCCCAGTATTAGTCCTTTATTTTCAAAGGGAGACATTTCTGCACTCTCCTAAAATTGTGAGACAACAATAAACAAAGTTAAAGATGTTCTTTCCACTCTACCCAAACGACTTACTTTGCTTTGAAGTCACAGAAGCGTAAGGCTAGAATAACTGGTGCGTGCTGCAGGCAAAGTTACAAGACAACTCCGGCAGATTCTGCGCTAAAAGGCTATGTGCTATGACAGCAAAACCAAGCTGACTGTGGGTTTGGGGGCGGGGGGAGCTGAGGGGCACACACACATTTCTGCATCGGCACGTGCGCAGGACCGCAGCCTTCACTTTCAACCTTCTCCGCATCTTGGGATTTGTTTTACTGCAAGAAACTCCTATTTTCCGCAACTGCGGAGCGGCGGAAGCCCTGCTGTCAGGCCCCGGCGCAGCCCGCAGGGGTGTCCCGCCGCGCCGCCCGGCTGCCGGTGCCCCGCCGCCACCTCCCCGCGGGGGCCCGCCCGCCCGCCCCGCAACCCCGGCAGGGACCGGGACCGGGATCGGGACCGGGACCGCCACCGCCGGCGGCAGCAGCGCCAGCCCCGGGCCCGGCACCGCCCCCGTTACGTACCGGCGGGCCGGTCCGGCGGCGAGTCCGGCCCAGGCGCGGCGCGGCCCCGCAGCTCTCCCGCCGCGGCACAGGGGGTGGGGGCGGCGGCGGGGCCGCCCCGGGGCGGCGATACCCGGATCGAGGGGGACGGGCCTCCGCCGCAGCCGCCAGCCGGGCCGCCCCGGCGCCGGGGGCTGCCGTGTGGAGGCGGGCGGCGCGCCGGGCCGGGCCGGGCCGGGCCCGCCCTGGGGTCCTACCGCCCCCCGAGCCGGTGGGCGCGGGCAGCTGTGGCCTGGCCGGGGCTTCCGGCTCGGAGCCCGGGTAGGCCGCGGCCTTGGGAGTCCCGCCGGGCGCTGATGCTGCACCTGCTTCAGACATTGCTCGAATACGCTGTCAAAGTGCAAACTTACTTGTGTACGTGTCTCCTTCCAGTCTGTTGGCCACTTGTTTCCGCTAACTTAACCTTTACTCCTTCTAGGCCCTAGAGAAACTGTATTTTCACTGCATTAGTGGAGACCTTAAGCTGCAAAATTACAGAGAACGCCTGCCCAGCTGCCAGGAAGATGAGCAGTCCTGGCAGAAAAGCTTCATTGCAATTTTAGCCATCCAAGGGCCCAAAACTGATTTCACCAAAGTCAATTACAGATTGCCCGAAGTCATGGAGAATCTTGGGTTTAACAGTGCAGGAGGTACTTACTGCTCCTGCATCCCACCTGAGACATCACTTGTATTGGTGATGCTCGCAAGACCCTTCTTTCTCCTTTATGACAGTATTTATTTCTGCCTCCTGTTTCTGGCCTTGAACAGAAAAAGGATCTATCACAGACAACCTGCTGTGTCTGTTCATCTTCCTGAAGGCTTCTGGAGGGTGCCCGTAGACATCCTGCCAGAATTTAAAAGCATAAAACTCATGTTCTTCTGTGTGAGGGCTCAAGGAAACCATTATGGAACCCATTCTACCTGCTCTTCAATAGTTGGAATTTTCCTCAGCCATATCACTCAGAAAGAAAGGATCACTATGTAGTTCTTAAAAGGCATACCAATTACCTTTAAAAAGTGAATGAAGTGCCGTTAAAAAAAAAAAAAAAAAAGAAGGTACCTTAAACAGGTACCAAGAACTCCAGAATTTTCAGTCTTAGTAACAATTAGCAAATGTACATCAGTCTAATGTCTACTTATCTTCAAACAAAGACTTCCTTTCAAATAATTACAGCTGCTAACTAATTCTCCATTAAGAACCTGAAGATGAAACTAGCCTCAGATGAGATCAAACCACAATCCAAAAGGTAGAATTTGTTAAGGTGGAAAAATGAATGCTGTTTCAGTATTCTACAGTTTTCCTAGTTTAAAAAAAAAAAAAAAACAAAAACAAGTATAACCTGTTCATATGTATGTAATTTGAGATTTTTAAACGATAGATGGAAATCTCTTAAATTTTATGGAAACTTTACTGAAATAAAATTATTTTAAAGAACAAATTTCACTATAAGTAACTGGTTTAAGTTACATAACCCATCAGTGTTTTAAAATGGAACAGGACTACATGAATCTCCATGCTGATGGTATTTCAAATGTTCAAGAACAGTCATAAAAATTTTTTGGAGAACCTTTATTTTTATTTTCTCTTTTCAATACTATCTGCCAAAAATCTTTGTGTAAGCCAATTAAAACATGAAAGAATTTTTAAAAGAGACTTAATTGGAGGGCAAACACAACACAAAGCTGAAACAAAAGACTGTGGATGCAAAAACCTAAGTGAGTTTTTTCAAAGATTTATCCAAAGTGGCTGTCTTAGTCTGCTGGCCTTAGACAAGTGGGCCTGTTCTCAAAAATAATGCCCCAGGAAAACTGCCGTCTACAGCTGCCTGGATGCGTAGCAACTGTGAAAATCAGGTCACCTGTCTGGTCTCAAACTCCTTATTTCCTTTTCACCCACAGCCATTTTACCCAGGCAAAGCCATGCAGAAGCACAGAAGTTATTGCACGTGGTAGAAACCTGCCAGAACAGAATGGCTTTCCCCAATGCAGAACTAAACATGGATTTACCTACGCAACTGAATTGGCCTAAATCTGACATATTTTCTGAGGAACTGAAAGGAACTGTTTTTAGAAAAGTGCTGCTGTTCTGCATGTGGATTTTTTCCTAGTTCAAAAGAAATTTTGTACCAAAGTCCTAAAAAAATACACAAGTCCAGACCACCACCTGTTATAAAATGGTTAGTCCCATGTATTTTTAGTATTTGTAGTGTATTTTAAGCCTTACTTCCTAAGAAGACAAAGCTTATGTCTCCATGTTGTCTGTGTGCTGTCCTGTCAGGTAATACCATGACACTTTCTCGACCCAGTCGCTCCTGAACCCATAGCTTAATTTTAGCCAATTTTGACAGAAGAAGGATGTCAAGATACTTAAGTTTCATGAAGGTCAGCATCTCCGGGGTGGTAAGACCCTGTGAACATCCTGCCTCCTCTCCCCTGGCCCCAGGCAGATGTTCAGGGATGAGCTCAGCACACCAGAGCTGCAACCCTGGCACACATGCACAGGACACCAGCCTTCTTACAGCACTGTTTGTGCAAACCAGGCCATGTAGTTTAACTGGTCAATTGGGAAAGTTTGGACTTGGACAGTATTTTTGTGTTGTATTAGAAAAGTTAGCTTATTATTGAGCAATTGTGTTCAATGGGTGACAAACATTACATTGTAAGTAACTGATGCATGCTGTTTCCAGCCAAGATGTAGCCTAATCTACTGTTTTTTCCATTTCTCTATGGAAAGCATTTGTATTTTACAATTTACATAAAATTATTTAGCTGTAATTCTTCTGTAAATTTTCTTTTGTGCTATGCTCTTATGCTTTTATGTTCTTTCTGAAATGTGCTCCCAACTAGAGATTAATCTACTGTTTGTAAAGAATACAGAAAATTTTAATGTGTTTGTAATGCTTCATACTTTTTACTTCAGCAGTTGTCTTGTAAGTGTAAAATCAGTCCTTGTTAATAAATCACCAAATATTGTGCAAGTTTAATTACCTTTGACCAGACTTGCAACCAGCCTGCCAGAAATCCTACTGTTCTGTCAAGTTGTATTGAATTCTCCTGAACCTTTTGGTATGAAAATAAGCAAAATCATATCTTACCTCAAAGGGAAGGGAAGCATTCACTGTCAGACTTGTCAATATTCTCTGCTGCTCTTCCCCTGAACAATTGTCCAATGCCCTTAATGAAAAATTAATAAATTGGAGTTAAAAGGAGATGAGTAATAGCACGCTGATGTTTTCTGTTTTCTTCAAATAAAGATATACTGCTTAGCATAGTTCCCAGAGGAGATAAGTTATTGTAACTACTGCTGTCTTTATGTCTGTGTGTGTGCAAGTATAACTGTACCTCTGCATCCTCTCTGGTATTTTTGAATCTTAGGCCAAGCTCAGTCAAATTCATCAGAGAAATCAACCTCTGACAAGTTTCTTTGAATTAGTTGATCTTATAAAGGAGAAAGCACTGAATTAGTGCCCCCACTGTGGAGCAGATTGCTCACCCCTTCTTGAACAACTGAGAATCCACACAGGAGAAAAGCATTTGCAAGGACAGGAAGAACTAAAGCAGAGCTTACATTTCATTAGATGTGAGGGAATTGAACTACAAGATATAACCTGATAGGAAACCTGGCTTCATTAGTTTGACTGCACATGCAACCATCTGTTTATTTATTTATTGTGTTGAGAGGATCCAGTGCTGCAATTTCAGCTAAGTACAAATGCTCATTGATGCCATGGCATTTAAAAAAAAAAAAAAAAGATGTACATGCTGTTCCTACTTCTTTGTGTCTCACCAGGAAGCTCAAGGACATTATAAAAATATATTTATGCAAGCTGTATTAATTTTTTTTAGGCCAAGGTACATGATTCAATTTCCTTGATGTAAGAGATGAGAGTTGGCATCCCAAAAGAGTTCGCGTATGTTGTGTTGACAACGACAGGAATAAATACTCAAGGCTACATTAGACGTAATTCCACAGTGCTGCCTGATTCCTTCACAAAGAAAAATGGTCCTGGGAGTGCCTGGGTATACTCTGAAGAGGAAAACTATATGGTCATAAAAACCATAAGAGTATGCGTGTATAAATCTAAATTTTACACATATATGTATATATTCCTTGGGAGTCAAAACTCAAGAAGAGTCAAACTCTTTACAAATATGTGTGTGTGTGTGTGTGTACACGTGTATTCCACATCACTCAATGTATTTTATTCTATTTAATAAGTGTGTTTTGGTGTTTTTTTTCAGCTTCCCTATCAATATGCTATTTCAGAGTATATTATTTTAATGAGTTTTACTGTTTCCACCAGCAAATGGCAGAGTGCTCCTTCCTGAACTCCACAGATCAGACAATTCAGTAACTATCACCTAATACATGATGGCCCTAGAATGTCTGCAATTTCACATTAAAAAAACCCTTCATCCGGGTGATGTGGTGTGCTCTTCCACCATTTCTGCTCCTGTTCTGTACTAGCACGTTGTGAGCTTATCAAAAATTTCCCTCCTGATTTTAACTTTCCATCTAGTCTGCTAAGGCTACATGTACATGAGCAAGCAGTGGGGACCAACAGGAGTGTGTCTGTGGGCAGAACAGTTGGTGCTGAGGCCACGACATCCATGCTGTGCCCCAGGTTAACTTTCGAGTGGCTCCAGCCTGGTGGCAGGGGCTGCGTGCCCGTTTGTGGCTGCGGTGCCTTGGGCGTGCTTCTGCAGTGGATCTTCCCAAAGTGCAACTCGTGTGCCCCAAGCCTGGTCCACGGGGTGAAGCAAAGCTTGCCACGCTGGGATGATCGGGAGATTTACCTCAGAAGTGCACACCTAACCCAACGCAAATCATTACTCTATACATACATGTTTACACTAGGAGGTTTTGGTGTGGGTTACGCAATTATTCAGGCAGGACAGAGTGACTGCAGGACAGGAGGTCACCGCCCCCTGGCAGTTACTGTGTGCTGGCAAAAGGGTTCCTCCTTCACTGTAGGATCATTTTTTGACAGTGAGAATTGATAAGTGCAGCAAGAAGCATGAGGAAAAGTGGTGAAACCAGGAGACTAAGGGGAACCAGAAATAAATTCCTAACCA